AGGCCAGGGCTTTAACCTACTGTGCCACAGCGTCAGCCCCTGCTCCACTCTGATCCAGCTCTCTGCTAATGGTCTGGGAAAGCTGTAAAAGATGGACCCCTGCACCTAAGTGGGAGACCTGGAAGAAGCTCCTTGCTCCTGGCTTTGGATCCTCCCAGCTCTGGCCTTTGCAGGCATTCGGGGAGTAAACCAGTGGATGGAAGAACTCTCTCTCGTTCTGTCTCTGTAACTCTGTCTTTAAAATAAATAAATATTAAGAAAAAACAAACTTTTGTTCCTCAAAGGACATTATAGACAAAGAAAGATATTTTCTTCTATACCAAGAAGTTTAGCAAATCAGCAAAGTAAAACCCTAATTTAAAAAAAAAGATGGGGTTTGACATTTGATGCAGCAGTTAAAGCACGGATCAGGACACCCACATCTCACATCAGAGCACCTCGGCTCAAGTCCCAGCTCCACCTCCAGTCCCAGTTTCAGTTCTACCTGTTGCCACAAGACGTAGCCAGTGACAGCTCAAATACTTTGGTCCCTGATAGCGATGTGGGAGACCTGGATTTGAGTTCTTGGCCCCTGGTTTCAGCCTGGCCCATCACCCGCTGTTGAGAGCATTTGGGAAGTGAATGAGTAGCTGGAAGATCTCTCAGCCTTTCAAATCATTTTTTTTAAATGGGTCTTAAAAAATATTTTTTCAGGCTAGAGGAAATGAGTAGGCAGTTCAGAGAAGGGGAAGCCCAAATGTCTAACAAGTGTTAAGAGGAAATGCCCAAACCCACGAAGAATCAGAGGCATGCAAATCAAACAATAACATACCCCTCTGGCTCCTGTCAGAATGGTAAATGTTAGGTGGTGGCTATGCAGTGACAGCGGGATGTGGAAGATTAGGAACAGCTTTTCTGGACAGCAGTGTGACCACACCCAGCAGTCTGACTTGTCAGATCAGGGAGCCCTCTCCCAGTTACACACCTCAGAGAAGTTCTAGCTCTCGCCCAGGAGGGGATGTTCATATTATTCACCCCGGCATAACTTGTGGAAGAGGGAGGCGGAGGCAACTGAGTGACTGACAGGTGGGCCAGGTCGGTAGCGAATGCGTATCAAGAAATGACAGGCTGGGGCCAGTGCTGTGGCCGAGTTAAGCTAACACCTGCAACACCGGTATCCACATGGGCCCTGGTTCAAGTCCCAGCTTCTCTACTTCTGATCCAGCTTCCTGCTAATGCACCTGGGGAAAGCAGCGGAAGATGGCCCAAGTGCTTGGGCCCCTGAAACCACTTGGGAGACTTGGATGAAACTCCTGGATTAGGTCTAACCCAGCTCCAGCTGTTGTGGCCAATTGGGAAGTGAACCAGTGGATGGAAGATATCTTTTTCTCTCCCCCTTCTCTCTCTATAACTCTGCATTTCAAATAAATAAAATAAATCCTTTTGAAAAAATGACAAGCAGCACTGAAAAGCTACAAACCATTGGCACTTACAGGTCATTGACAGATCTAAAACAATGGTGCTGAATGAAAAAAGGTATGTAATACAACATCATTCATATGTTAAAACGTACACAGGCAAAATGACAACATATTTTACAAGGGCAAACATATTCCAGTGTCACTGCCTCTGTTCATTGAAACTCTGATTTCCCTCCTCAGTGCTCTCTGTTCCTTTACCCTCATCAATCTGTCTACTCCATGAGGGCAGGAACATTTTTTTTTTCTTTTTTTCTTTTTTTTTTTTTTTTTTGACAGGCAGAGTGGACAGTGAGAGAGAGAGACAGAGAGAGAAAGGTCTTCCTTTCCTTTTCCGTTGGTTCACTCCCCAACGGCCGCTACGGCCAGCGCACCACACTGATCCGAAGCCAGGAGCCAGGTGCTTCACCTGGTCTCCCATGTGGGTGCAAGGCCCAAGCACTTGGGCCATCCTCCACTGCACTCCCAGGCCACAGCAGAGAGCTGGCCTGGAAGAGGAGCGACCGGGACAGAATCCGGCGCCCCGACGGGGACTAGAACCCGGGGTGCCGGCACCGCAGGTGGAGGATTAGCCTAGTGAGCCACGGTGCCGGCCATACATTTCTGTCTTGATCACTGTTGTATCTGCAGCAACTAGGATAGAGCCTGGGGCACTGTTGATGGTCAATAATTACTTGTATCACGAATAAATTAAGGTCGTACAACCAACAGAAAGCAGGGCCTATAGGGAGGAGACAGGAGGGCTGGTAAGTAGGGAAAAATAAATGAAACAAGGAGATGGATCTTGACCGGTTCATAAAAATCATTACAAATTATTTTATCAAATTCATTCTATGGTAAACTAGGCCTTGCATGCTAAGGCTGCTATCTGCCTGTCCAGTGTCCTCTGATTTACTCTCCTTCTGAGTAGCTAAGAACGCCTCTGCCCCTGCCAGTTCCTAGAACTCCTGATCCCTTCTGGGCCCTTGTACAAGCTGCTCCTTTGCCTGTAAGCTCCCTCCCTCCCTCCCTCCCTCCTTTTTCCCTTTCTCTTTCTCTTTCCTTCTTCCTTCTTTATTGAAGAAAAACACTTATTCTAATTAACTCACAAACAATAACACTACGACTGCGTGTTCAAGGGGACCAAACATCTGCTCAGCTCCAAATCCGATCCTGTCAATGAACTTCCACCCAGCAAGGATGCTCCCTTCTACTGCAGTTCAGAACTAAGGAAGCTACTCATGGCAGAGGATGGGTTTAACTGGTGGTTGCACCCTTGATGCTTTCATTACCAATTACATTTTTATGCTAAAGCAACTTGGTCATGAGATTCTATTTTCCACTTCTTGCTTAGACAAATCCATTTGCAGGTCTGCATTGTCTCAGTACTTCATTGAAATCCTCCCAGAGCTTAACATCACCCTGGTTCTGGACACACTCCAAAAACTGTTTGAGATTCTCAGAAGCAAGAACCAAACTGCTGCTGCTGCGGCAGCTCTACTCCCTGAGGTTCCTGGTAAGTGATGAGCCCTGAGGGCTCAGCACCCCCCAACCCCCACCGAAACCACCAGCGACGGCAGGACCCAGAGTGCGCCCGCAGCGGCTCCTGCAGTCACACCAGCTGCCCTGATTGCCATTTGGGCTATCAGGCCAGGCTGCGGGGGTGCAGCAGCAGGCAAGCCAACTGCAAACGGTGTGGCTGCTGGTGCTGGCTGAGCTGCTGGAGCTGGCCTCCACGCGGCTCTCACGGGAGGTGTCCGGCTGGCAGGAGGGGCCGCGCAGACATGTGGCTTTGGTTTCCACGCGTTTTAACTGCTCAACTCTTAGGTGCCTAGAAATGCGAGAAGAGTTAGTTGCTTCTGCCTACAACCTTTCTGTAGTTCTTCAAAAAGCTGGTACCTTCTCATCGGTCAACTCCCAGGTGTCACCTGCTCAGAGCGGGCTCATTCAACCATTTCCTCTAGTGCTCTCTGTGTATCACCTGTTCACTGTCTCGGTGAGCTCTGTGAGTAGTTTACAGATGTATCTAACCAATGACTGTAGCCCCAAGAAGACAGAGGCTTGGGCATCTCGCCTCGCAGTTAAGATGCTGCCTGGGACTCCTACATCCCCTATCAGAGACTGGCCTTGAGACCCGCTTCAGCTCCACATTCCAGCTTCCTGTTATTGCACACCCTGGAAGGCAGCAGGTGATGGTTCACGTCCTCGGGTCCCTGCCACCCAGGCAGGAGACTCAGAGTGAGTTTCCTGGCTCCTGGCTTTGGCCTGGCCCAGTCCTCTTGCAGGCATTTGTGGAATGAACCAGTGAATGGGAGACCTTTGTCTCTCTGTCCTTCATATAGAATAAACTTTAGAAAGCAGAGGGCTTTTCTGCCTAACCTCATCCTCAGCACCTGATATAAAGTAAGCAAATCTACTGAGTCACGAGTGAAGACCGAGATCATAGGGCTAAGCAGGAAAGGTACCGTGCTCAACCCAGGAGAGATGGAGACTGGGAAGAGATGGGCGTCATTGTTTTATTATTTTATCCTAATTTGAAAGGCAGAAGGTTCACCTCCAAGTGCCAGCAACAGCAAGGCACGGGCCGTGCCACAGGCTGAAGCCAGGAGCTGGGAACCCAGTCTAGGTCTCCCACGAAGAGGGAGTCTTGATGAGGTCAAAGGACAGACAGGGGTGGGTGGAGGACAGGCTGTGGCTGGGAGGCCTGACAACACTGCTTCAGCGTGGACCTGCGGCGATGTGGGGCCCAGGCAAATCTCTTGCTTAAGGTGTCTTTGTTTAAAACACACACACAGAAAAAAAGTTTCTTTTTAGGGTAACACATTTCGTCTCTGCAATGGCCCACTGAGGGTATTATTGTCATAACTAACACAATTTTCAACGTGGCAAGCGCTGTCCCAGGTGCTTTGGTTGTTATTTATTCATCTAACTCTCAAAACGATCCTACTGGAAAGGCCCGCCGAGGCACCGGGCGGTTAAGTCTCTCGAACGAGCCATGATTTCAATTTTGACCCAGGTACAAATGCTGTACCTTTTCCTTTCCGTTTTTTTTTTTTTTAAATTTATTCATTTATTTACTTGAAAGGCAGAGACAGAGAGAAAGAGCTATCTTCCATCTGCTGGGTCACACCCCAAAAGGCCATAATGGCCAGGAGGGAGCCAGGAGCGTGTTCCGCGTCTCCCACGCGGGTGCCCGGGCCGTGGACTTGGGCCATCTTCTACTGCTTGCCCAGGCCACAGCAGGGCTGGATCGGAAATGGAGCAGCGGGACACGAACCGGCGCGCCTGTGGGATCCCGGGGTCGCAGGCGGTGGCTTTACCCGCTTCCGTCACCTGAAGTCTAAAAAGAGGCGTCCTGGGAGGAAGCAGCAGCTGCCGTGAGGGTAACTATCACCTGCGTCCGCGCTCGGGATTTGTCCGCTTTCATTGGACCGCTCCGTGGGCCCTCCCCCGCCCACGTGACTGCGCGGCTGGCGTCTGCGCTCCCGATCTCGCGGGATTTGGTCACCAGTGGCTCCCCTCTCCTCATTGACTGTCTTCCCGCACACAGCCCTCCCACCTTACCTGCCGGCGGCGACCAGCTTCTGGAGAAAAGTGTCAACCATGGTGTCGAGGAGTTTCACCCTAGAAATGGTAGAACTGGGCGGTGCAGATTCTGGAGACGATCCCTCAGACCCTTTTTCGTCAGCTGCCGAATTGGTGCTGCTCGCTTCCGCCATGTTGAAATCGAACCGCCAAATCTAACTGGCCCGCCTGTCCCGCCCATCGGGGCCCCCGATTGGCCGTCCCCGCACTGAGTGTCTCCGATTGGAGCAAGCGGAATGTCTATCAACCTAAGCGGAGAAAGGGCAGTTGCCCGAGACGGAGGGGCGTGACTGGCTGTAGCAGCCAAGTGCTTTCTGGCAAACCAGGAAGAAAATGAGTAAACCAAAACTCAGGGGCTCAATAAAAACTTTTAATTACACTTCAAAGACTTCGTACAGTGCAACAGTGAATATTCGCGGTTGATATTCAAGAGTCCATTTTATCAGATGTTAAGTTTCCCCTGCCCCTTGATTCTCCACTCAAGCTTCCGTCTTGCCCAGTCTCCCAGAAGTTGCTCCTGGTTTTGGTTGCCGACCCCAATATGTCAGAAAACGTGAACTACTCTGGTCTCCAGTTTTGGGGAAATGGAGGGCCACTGTCGCATCCCCACCAAGACCTGTTTGAATCAAACCCAATCCAAGTCCCTAAACGATTAGATTGGAAAGGGCTAGGGGTTCCTTTAATTGTACATCCCTCTTCCTTTAAGTGTGTGTGTGTAAGAGAAAGAGAAAGACAGAGACAGGGAGAGGAGAGTCTGAAATATGAGAAAAACAAAAGGAAATTAGTTTGGGAGGGAGAAACACCCTAAGGAAGGCAGGAGACTATGTCCTGCTCATGTTACTTTACCCACTTTGCCATAGTGGGGAAGTCAAGTCTCTAGTGAAAGTTTGGGAGCCAAGCAAACCACTGTTCAGAGGGATGAGCTTGTATAGAGAGAGGAAGGGCCCTTGGCTTCCATTTTAGGGTGGGTTTCAGGGTAGAGATGAGTGAAGAGCAGGAGGATTCAAAAATTAGCTGTGGGCCCAACCTTTGGATAACCATTTGTGGACAGAGACTGGAGGATTCTGGTGACAAAATGTGGGAAGGGACAAACAAAAATAAGCAAAAGGAAGAAAACTCCTACAGGTAAGAAATCAAGTGGGCAATGGTGGTGGTGAAGGCTGAGAAATATTCACATGGTTTTTCAGAGTCTGATCTGGCCAACGTGGAAGAATGTGGGGCAGCCATAAGAAATATCAAGGCTTCAGGTAGCTAGCACCTTTCAAATTGGCACAATGGCCTTTCCCGGGGGTGGGAATGGGGGAGGGGACCAATAGGAAAGTTTAAAGGATTACCCAGACCAATTGTCTCAAGCAGAAATGCGCTTTGACACACTTTCTTTTGATTCCACTTGCTGTACCGCTCCACCTGCAGCATGGGCTTGGTGGAGGAAGCAGGGGAGGAAGGATGAGGCAGGGAAGGAGCACTCCTCCCCTAGCTCCCAGGGAGAGCTTACACAGATAATGTCGGCAGTATCAGGCTGGTAAATGCAGTGGTCCTGGTATCGGGTGGTCTTCTGAACTGCTTTTTACTCTCTTCCAAGCACAGAACCGTGACTGGGATGACTTCATATTCGGGGAGAAAACCAAAACAATCCTCCATCTCTGAGATTCCCATCATCAGACAGCATCTGTTGCTTGAGTCCGAGCTGTTGGGTACATGTGTGTGTGAGTGTGTGTGTCACGGCTTCCTGGGGCTGAGAACCTCCACTGCACTCTCCCAGGCTTGGCTCTGCTGGCCCATGGAGATGTGCTAAGGAAAACGCATCTTCTTGTTGCTTCCCAAACCAACTACTCTCTCAACCTACTTTTGTTAGGTTTTTGGGTAGTGGTCCAAGTCCAGTATACTTCAGACAGCCAGGTCTATGTCCACCACTGTGGTCATCTGGGCCAGGGGACAGCTGACATTGTCCCTTAGGGCTGCTGAGACTAAAGGGACACTGAAGGGACAGGGAACTGGAATTGAAGACAAAGCTACATTACATTTTTCCTCCTGTCTGAGGAAGGGGTAGGCTCTGGCAGCAGGATTGGTACATTAGCAGGACTAAGATAACAGCCTGGTTCACAGATGTTAAGAAAATACACACTTAAATAAAGTATCGACATTTCTCCCCAGTCTTATAATTCCTCCAAAGACAGATCCATGCCCTGGAGACCCAGAAGTTCCTGTTGCTCCTATTCCCTGTGCAAAAGTGCCTGGTAACTTGCCTCCTAGTGGTGGGAAAAAAGAAGCAGAGTCGTCTGGTGGGCAGCTCAGTTCCAAAACAAAAATATGCAAGCCTGGGAGAGCACTGCTGGGAGGCTGGGCTGCAAGCCCGAGAGGGAGAACCAGTAGTAGCGAGCAAGCCCTATGTACAGCTCTTCTCAGGGTCTCAGGGACACAGATGCAGGGGAAAGCTGGAAGGGTTAGCAGTGTGGCGATGGAGATGGGTCCTTAGAGACGAGGCCTGAGCATGAGGACTGAGGGAGGGAGCTCAGTTCAGCTGGAGAATGAAAAATCGTGGAGGCAAGGGATCCAGGAGTGGAGCCTCTTCAGCAACAGCAGTTCAAGTCTCTGTCCCTGTCCGACAGGCCACGTGGCCCAGGGCAGGGGGACACTGGGGAGGGTGCTGTCCTCCCCACCCTGCCCCCAACCCAGAGTAGTGTGGGAAAGCAGCAGGCTTCTCTCCCCCGCTGGTTACCAGTGTCTCGAGTCCACCAGCTCAGGCCGCAGGCTGAGTTTCTTGAGGCTCTCGTAGCCCACCACGATGACAATGGTGGAGGGCGTCGCCGAGATGATTCTGGCCGAGAGGCCCTTCATGAGGCCCCACGGCCCCTCCTCCGCCATCAGCTGTCTGAAGGTCAGGATGATGGAGTTCTTGCCCTCGACCTGGAAGAGTCAGCACAGTGGAGGGCCACTGTCGGCACTCGGGCCCCTCTGCTCAACCCCCCTGTGCCTTAGGGTCAAGCGGGGGGAGCGGAGCTGGGGGCCGCGGAGCTGCGTTCTGCCGCTGAAGGACAGTGCGCAGTGGTTTCGTGCGAGCTCCGGTGCTGGACCACCGGGCTCTGAGTTCTGCTGCCCACTTGCTGAGGGCACCACCACGGGTGACTTATCAGCTCCTTGTGCCTGTTTCCTCCAATACAAAACACTGGCTAACGATGCCTCCAAGAGGCTCTCTGAACACGACAGAAAATAATCCTCATAAATGCTGACAACAGTGTCTGCAGATGGTAAACTAAATGTTAGCTGTTATTATCAGACGTTGTGGGGCAGCAGATCTACCTGCTGCTTGGGACGCCCGCATCCGTATCAGAGGGCCTGGTTCAAGTGCTAGGTGCTCTGCTTCTCATCCAACTTCCTGACTATGCATCCTGGTAAGGAGCAGATGATGGCCCAAGGACTTGGGCCTCTGCCACCCACACGGGAGACCTGGATGGAGCTCCAGGCTCCAGCTTCAGCCTGGCCTAGTCCTGGCTACTGTGGGCATTTGGGGAGTGAGCTTCCTGATGGAAGATCACTCATTCGCGCTCGCTCTCTCTCTCAAGTAGATGAAAATAAACAAATGAGTATTTAAAATATATCATTAGATAAGCTACAAAGTTGTGCATCTTTGGACCAGGTGCTTCTCTCTAGCCTCAAGAGGCTGGATTAATTCCCCTGTAAACCCTCTGCGACACTGGCAGCCGTCTTTGGATTCTGATCATCTCAATCCCAGTGAAGACCTAAGGTAGAAAACTCCCCCTCCCCTTCTGTCCTTTCTCACACATTGGGGCCTGTCCTCTCTATTGCACTAGACGCCTGGCCAAGACAGAACCCTCTTCTCCCTTGTCAACAGCCCCACGCCCTACTCTCACTGCCACTCCAAACTCCACCTTAAGAGGCTGCCATTTCGGTCGTCAGCCCATCCAGGACAGATGTTCCCCTTGCCCATGCCTGTCTCTCTATGCTATGACCTTCATAAGGTGATCCCCACTGTGGCTGGGACATCTCCCCAGTCCACCCTCCTCCTTCTGTACCTCTAAACTCTCTTCTTCCTGTCCAATACTCTCTCAGGTGAACACCTCTGCTCCCTTAACCCTCGCACTCATCCACAGCCATGTCAAGGGCTTTTTCAGTTATGTCGTCAGCCCTGCAGCCTGGGAGCTCCTCAAAGCAGAGACCTGGGGGCTCGCATTGTGGTAGAGGGTTAGGCTGTCACTTGCAAATTCGAGATCCCATATCAAAGTGCCGGTTTGTATCCTAGCTGCTCCGCTTCTGATGATACCTGGGATGGCAGCTGATGATGGCCCAAGTGCTTGGGCCCCTGCCACCTGTGGAGGGGACCTGGATGGAGTTCCTGGCTCCTGGCTCCTGGCTTTGACCTGGCTCAGCCCTGGGTGTTGCACCCATTTGAGGAGTGAATCAGCAGATAGAAAGTTCTCTCTCTCTGCCCCGCCCCACCACCGTCACTCTTTCAAGAGAATACATGAATCTTTAAAAGAACAAAAAGCAATGCCTATGCTTTCCCTGGAACACCCAGGACAAGGCTCAGGAAGAACGGGGCTGGAACTTTACTTCCAAGTGAACATTTTCAAATGGCGGGGAGGGGACTCTTTCCCGGGGACAGAAACACCTGCATTTACTACTCACCTCCTTCCTGACATCGTGCTGATGGGGAAGCTGGCTTTATCCGCAACCTGTTACAATTATTTTTCTTCCCTCTCTTCCCCACCATAACCTCATGAGAACCCCATTCTCCTAAACATCTTTCTTCATTCTCTACTTTTCCTCCTAAGTTACCCAAATCAGATATTAAAACCCTCCATCTCTCCACGTAAAACATTCCACAGCTGCAGTTCTGTTCCCTTGGTCTGGGTGCTGTGCAATTGTCTTCTAGCTGACTCAATGCAGGGGCTACAATTTACAGAGAGCACCACTGAGGGCCTTGTCAGCATTTTCACTGATTCCACAGAGCAGAATCTGTAAAACAAAAACCTTTTGCAGAGAGAATAACAGCTCTCACCCTTTGCAGAGAGCTCATGACTGAATAGAAAAATTAGATGAACATATGAAATTAACTTAAATAAATTTCTAATAACCACAATCCTGAGCAATAAGGAAAGGGTGATTGACAGCCTATGTTCATAGGCTATGGAA